GTTGAAGGAGCTAGCTTCTGAAATGGCCAAGCCGTTAGCCTTAATCTTCCAGACGTCATTTGTTACTGAGCGTCTACCTTTTGATTGGAAGACAGCAACGATCACTCCACTTTTCAAGAGTGGAAGCCGAGCGTCCGCAAATAATTACCGGCCGGAGAGCCTTACCTCCACTTGTTGTAAAACCATGCAAAAAAATCATAAAGAAAGCGTTAATGCAGTTCCTTGAGCAGAATCACCTCCTTTGCGAAGCCCAGCACGGTTTTCGCAGTGGTAGGTCCTGTATTACAAATCTGCTCTTTTAACTTGATCACTGGACCAAAGCAAGTGACGAGAGCAAAATGGTGCATGCCATCTCCATTGACTTCAAAAAGGCGTTCGAAACCGTCCCACACCAATTCCTCCTGCATAAACTGCGCAGTGCAAGCTTTCGCGGGGCCCTCTTCCTATGGATCCAAAACTTCTTGACAGGCCGGTCCCAAAGAGTACAAGTCGGTCGCCAGCTGTCCTCGGGGATATCTGAGGTGAGCGGCGTCCCACAGGGCTCAGTTTTAGGTCCCACATTATTCTTTGTTTTCATCAACGACTGTGTCAGGGACCTAAACTGTGATGTCACCTTGGTCGCTGACGATATAGAATTATGGAAAGTCGTCCAAAATACGGCAGATGAAAACCATCTGCAAGCTAACTTGAACGAATTGGAGGACTGGTCAAATCATTGGCTTATGCCTTCCAATGTTAGTAAATGCAACTTTCTTCAAATCGGCAGCTGTAGAACATCCAGCCCAAAGGTCTATTCTTTAAACAGCACACGGCTGCAACAAGTTGAGAGTAAAATGGACTTGGGTGTGTGGATTCCTTCTTCAATCAAACCAACGCTGGACTGCATGAAAGCAGCGAAGTCGGCCAGATCTAAATTACAGCTGATTAGAGGAGCCTTTATGGGGTTAGAAAAAGAGAGATTTTTCAAAATATTTAGAAGCTTCTTTCGGCCGCACCTGGAATTCGCTATACACGCAGCACTTGGACTATCAAAAACTGCACCGTTTTAGAAAAGGTCCAGAGGCGAGCGACAAAAAATGGTCAAAGGTCTGGGAACATTGCGCCATTAAAGCAGACTGTCAACCCTCGATCTATTTCCCCTTTCGTACAGGCAACTTCAAGGAGAACTCAACCTTACCTCACGTATTATGAATAACCTGGATTGTTGTTTCGTCCCCGACAATTTATTTACTTAAGCCAATACGCCAACACTGTGCAGGCATCCCCTTAAACTGCGCCCCGGCAAAGCAAGGATTGACGGACGAATATTCTTCTTCAGCAACAGAGTAGTTGCAGCGTGGAACGCCCTTCCCGAAGAGGCTGTCCTCTCCACCTGTGTTAATTCATCTAAGAGCAGACTGGATATGCACCAAATCCCATCATGAAACACCGCCGTGTAAAAAGACATAAAAGTACATTATATTACTCGCAACTAACGAGTAGTCATTTTTTATTACTATTTCGGCCTACCGACGACTGCTGTGTCTTCACTCGGAACATGTGATTGACGTACTTCTCAAATTTTTCTTTGTATCCATATATTTGCTATCAGCTTGTTACCAATAGGGAGTTCAAAGGCATTCGCCTATCTTCCCCTCGATAAACTGATAGTGATATAGCAGGTTTTAACAATTTAACTGTGTAACAGTCTCTTATAAAGCTTACCAAGGAAACTAACTCCCAGAATTCTGACCGGTTAACAGTTCGTGTTTTTTGGGTCGAAAGTTATTATTTTTCGCCGTTATTTGGCCACGAAAGTTTCGGTCAGTGCTATCCGCTCACCAAAAAACAGATCTATCCGTCTAACAGAAATCGACGTTTAGTACATGGTTTGGTTAAAAGGAAAACTTCATGTAGAACACATATGCTATCTAGTGAAATCTCTAACCATTTTGCAGCATAATCCGAAGGTATTTCAGAGAAAACGGGCTATCGTCCTTTGTATGAACCGTATCCAACTATCTTCGGGAAATAAAGGCAT